AAATGTGTAAATGTGTAAATGTTTCGGTGGACAACGTTAATGACATTGACTGTATCTAAAAAGGGTCAAAGTTTATGCATGTTGCATATTACACACACCTAGGTCCTAGAGTGCTGATGGACATCTTAATCGTTTCTTATAACCCAAACATATCTTTATGCTCTGTTGCTGTAAGAAGATATTCGATTGCATGATAAATAAAACTAAAAAGAGCCACTCAATATGTGCATGTGGTCATTTTCAATAAAAACAAATGTCCTTTAAAAAGTACAAGTAGATTATGGGGAAATATATGAATATTTCAAAAATCTCGGATATGACCGGCCTTCTGATTACATCTCCGATATGCTAGATATGTTTACGATTTGCAGTTGACAACTATATTGAGATATTTACGATGGCAACTTGATAGAAGCTACTGCATATGCGCAGAAGATACAAAAACAAAATAATTCATCCTACATCTCTCAATCATTGTTTGTTTATTCGTTCGTTCGTTCGTTCTTTCGTTTGTTTGTTTGTTTGTTTGTTTGTTCCTACCTGCCTACCTACCTGCCTACCTGCCTGCCTACCTGCCTGCCTACCTGCCTACCTACCTACCTTTCTTTCTGTAAAATATTAATACAGTAATAAATAATGAGAATTAACATCATCTGTTACTTTAAATATCTCTACTATTCTCAAGCCTGATTGGTTGACCTTGACTTTTATGTGAAGGTCATCAGAGTAGCAATAGAATAACGTTAAAATGAGCGAATTTTCCTCAACTATTGCAAAATAAAAAAGAACAAGTCAAATCAAGTTTGTCCTGTTAAACCAGTTTTCCACAGTCATTTATACCATATTAAATCAAGTTTATCCTGTTAAACCAGTTTTCCACAGTCATTTATACCATTATAAAGAAAATTAGATTAAGTTAATCCTGTTAAACCAGTTTTCAGTCATTTATACAAGTTTTTTCAAAATCATGTGTCATCGGTGATGAAATAAGATGATGTAATATGGCTTTGCGCTGCGAATGAGCTTAATCTCCTACGCAGCAGCCACTATTAGTGTCGTCACGCAACGCTTACTCCCCTGAGTATCAGCTGGGATGCTATGAAAAAAATAAATATATTGTCTCGTACTCGACCTTTTGACCCTGAGCCAAGTAGCTGTTTACTCTGCGCATGTGTCAGCTATCTTTCCTCGACGCGATTCTAACATTATTTACAACGTCATTTTAAACCATGGCTTTTAAAACTACAGTTTAATTTGTGTTTAAATTGATGCAATCTTTTCATCTCGGGTGACATGAAGCGCTCACACCGATCGTTAATTGAATCACAAGTCAAGTCATCAAAAACAGGAAGCCTATTTCGCGATGTATCTCGAAATCAAGCATCCTTTAGTTCTTATCAGGAGCACCGAGCTATCTTCGCTCTACGTGTCACTCGCTGCAGAAAAAGTCATCACCATATCGTGATGTTATATCGTATTTTTATTGCAGGTCTAGTTTCCTTTGGAGGTTAAATCACTGTAAGGGTTTAGGTAATTTATCTGCCAGGAGAATGCTCAGTAGAATGACAAGCAGATAGCGAGATATCGACAGATAACAAGAAAGAATTCACGTACAGCCACTTCAACTGGGAATTCTCTAAGTTAGAGACGATTACAACGTTTGATGTTTGTTGACTAAGTTGTCACGAAAGCTGAATGTTTGAAGACTATCTACTGTGACCTGCAGTGAATTCGGAGAGTTTTGAGATACTGCTTCAAACTTAGATTTTAAAATTGACTGGTATTGTGCTTACCTTGCGATTTCGACATCCAATCATATTTAGTTGAGGATCTGTAAGTATTATGGTTTGGTCTAATAACCAATATGACCTTTGAAAGGCATTGTTTGCAGATTTCTTTATGCTCGCCACAGTTTGACAGCCCAACCGAAGCTTTTACGGCATCGAGAGAGAGAGATACTCGGATCGTTATACTTGGCGCCGGCTAGAGGTTACGAGTGGGACAGCTTAAAACGAGCTTTTTATCGCGCATCTGACTTCATAGTGCGACCGTGACTTTAACGTTACCCTGGTGTTCGACTTGCTACATGCCATTCATTGAACGCGGCTCTCTGCAGTCGTGTTCATGCTATCCCTCACGGTCACTCAATGACGGGGAATCTATAAAACCCAAGGGCAGCGAATGAGACGAAGTGACATCTTACGACTTCCCTTTCACACTTATATTTGTTTAGATGTCATGCATACATTATCATTATCTATACACTTTTTATCATGAATTTCGTAAATATAATTTGACGGAAATTTCAACGCACCGAAGACATAACAGGATGCAAGACTTCTACATGAACTCGGCAAAAAAAGAAATATATTCTAAAATTATGATAAAAAAGGCCATGCAAAACTTCTTTTATCCATCGAAAAACCTTGGTATATTTTTTAGAGCTTTTTTTCTTTTATCTTTAGAAAATGGGTTTGAGTATTGAAAATAATTTTCAGCAAAAATAAGGACTTTAAAAATGTGTCATCTTTTAAGATTATGTCATATTGATTTTCTTACACCGGCTTTTTCTAAATTAAGATATTAGTCAATTTATTTCATAATGTTTAGTGCTTTATTACACATTTAGGGTCGATATCAGTGTTTTAAAGCCGTGAATAAAACCATATCAGTGTAGTGATACGATATCACTTCACGATTCACGGTAAAACTGTCCAATAAGATCTCGCGACATATTTGAGTTTTGACCAATCAAAATCGACCCTAAATCGCTCGAGGACTCGCTCGTTCTAGCCTGCGTCACATCCGGAATTTTCTTCGTAAATACCGTCTGCGAAACATCGCCAGAAAGCTTGTTCTGGACCCCCCGCAAATTGCGCGATTATATATAATAGATTCTGATTGGCTGTTAGTCATTGCTCATTCTAACGTGAACTTTCATTGGATAGCACTATCAAACCGGATGTGAACGAGCAAAGCGTCCTAGTTTTCGTAAAGAATCAGTTTGAAATAGAAAATATTAATTATATTAGTAGTCATATCTCCATTAAAATCTTTAATAGAAGACCAAGTTTCGTCCCTAGGTAATTTAGGAATATCGGCTGTAGCTATCGGATCGAAATGATACCGACGTCGAAGAAGCTTTCGATCTCAAAGGTTTATTTTATGAGATTCCTTCTTTTTTTGAGCTTGTCAATGCATTGACGGCACACGTGTGAACTCGTCGTACTTCAAATTATAGTGTTTGCACTTCTAAAATAGGGTTGAATTTTTGTTTTCCATTTAAAAGAACAACTTCATAATCTTTTGCGATGAATTGATGGCACAAATAGTAAACTTTTGGTGTTATTTTGAGAAGGGGAAAGGTCATTCTACTTGAAGATTATCAAGGAAAACACCGCACTCGCTCGTGTTATGATTTTACACTAAACATCCGGTGAGGATCACATCCTATTTGATGTTATCCAATCGGAGTTCACGTTAGAATGAGCAATGGCTAACAGCCAATCAGAATCTATTATATATAATCGCGCAATTTGCGGGGGGTCCAGAACCAGCTTTCTGGCGATGTTTCGCAGACGGTATTTACGAAGAAAATTCCGGATGTGACGCAGGCTAGCTCGTTCGCGATACGAAAAACTCGTAAATAACAAGCTCTTAACTTGTGATAAACTCTATTTATCTTATCGATCAAAAAGATATAATTAGGGAGAATATGATCTTAAGCAGACGATATTTTTCTCTATATAACTTTTGTGCCAAAGTATTGGTTTAGTCACATTTAGAGTGCAAACAATATATCCGTGAAATATTAGTAATACTAAGTTACACTATTTTGTTCTAATTCTATTGTTTCCTTTTGTTTAACTAGCACTATTTTAAGCAATTTAGTAATTAGTGTTTCACGATATAGTGTTTATATTTTCACAACTAATAAGAGCAATTTGATGGCAAGTTATCTTTCAAGAATGATGAGATAGTGAAAAAATATCGTAATAAGAATAATAATTAGAATTGATAGATTAAAAAATATATATTATATGTTTACTAAGAAACTAATATGGCATGCCAACTTCTTTGCAACGAAATTCAGCTTTTTTGTTTTAAAGTTAGGGACCCCACTTAACGACTTTATTAATTAGTCGTACTTTCCCAGGTAAGGCGTTTGTTTTTGCTCAACAATTTAAGAAAATTCTCCTCTTAGCACAGCAGGTCGTCCCCAATTAGTGTACTATTAACACGTACAAAATTTTAGAATTATTTATTCTTTATGTCAGGTAAAGTCATTAAGATAGAATGTAATCAAGCTTGCCCATTGACCTTGAATATTGAAATTACATCTGTTGACCTCATTAAAAACGTAAGTAAGTAAGTAAGTAAGTAAGTAAGTAAGTAAGTAAGTAAGTAACCCGAAATTTCTAAACACACTTATGCAATATTTAGCTTGTCGGCGTTCACTGTTTTTGTTTTTATATTTTTAGGTGACATAACAAGTCGCCCGACAAAATCCGTGTAGATAATCCGCCAGTGAAATGTCAGTTGAAGTAGATGAATATAGTCACCTGTTCTGATCGTTTTCACCTGTTCTTAGGAAGTATTCGGGCGGTGGGGGGAATCCAGGGCGGGGGCCATTAAATTTCTACTCAGGGGGGTCATCAAATATTTTGTACTACATAAAGAGGGGGGGTCAAGGATTCAAGAAATTTTAAGGGAAGGTTCACTTTTTTATGTAGAAAGAAGAAAGGGGTGTTAAGATTTTACATCACTGTTTATAGGGATTCCTCCGGCTTACCCACACTCCTAAAAAATTAATGCTCCCTTATTAAACATTTATATCAATGGCTGTTTGGACTTCCTGCCTGATGAAAATCAAAACTCCCTGCCGGGGGTACGAGTTACTTAGTAGGTTTCTCATGAAATTAATATTGGGTTTCAAAAATGGCGTCGGCATCCGTTGAATAACATCCGAAAAAAATTAAAGGCAAAACTCTACCGATATTTCATCTACGTGTTTTACTTGATTGGAATATGGAATAGTCTTCGTATTTATAATTGGTTTAATACAAAATTGCGTGTTTGTTATAAATTTATCTCATTCATGTTTTTTTGGTTCTTACTTTTTGCTTGATGGCGCATGAGTAATAAAGTAATTCCGCTTACCAAACCTAAAGGTATAGAAGGCTTATATTCTTTAGAAATTGCCTACAACCTGTGAAATTTTCAAGTGTTTCAATTGTTCGTTGATGTGTAAATTCCTTTCATTACTGCGGACTGTAGTCAAATTCTAAAGAATAATTACACGCTGACGAGGCTGAAGTTGAGTAACAGGATCCGTGAAATGGCCTATTTTCATCGCACACGCTCGCACAAAAATGGCGGAACTGAATAAAAGAATACAACTTCTGCTCAGATTTTTATATTTATGCTAATATTATTATTATTAAAAAAATTTTAAATTGTATTTACGACATATAAAAGATCAGGTGATCAACCATAATTAAAAATTCTTTTAGGCACGTGACTATCACGTGAGACACCACGTAAGCAAGTGCTATCTTTTTAGTCAAACATATTCATCTTTCTGTTCTTCAATCGATACTTTCTGTTCTTTCTTGTCCATCTGCTTCGATCGATCTTTATCTTGTTTGGACTTCAGCTGGTTGAGTGTGGCTACAAGTCGCGAGTTGGTCGACTCAAGGGACTTGATTCGTTTCTCTTGTGCGTCGATAATTCGTTGTTTTGCCTGAACCACTTTTTGCATTTCCTCTCGTTCTTTTTCAAGTTCGTTTTCGACACTGACTAATCTATCTAGTAACTCTTTTATTTCCTTATTTTTATCTTCGCGCGCTTTCTCTGAGTTCTCCTCCGTTTCTGCCAGGCGTTCCTTGAACGACGCTACTAATTTATGCGTACTGGACTCTTGTAATACAAGTTGTTCTTGAGTGGAAGCAAGAGCTCGTTTCGTTTCCTCTAGCTCCTTTAATAAGTCGGATTTATCTTGTTCCTGTAAAACAAAAAAGATTATCTTGTTATGGAGCTACTTTTGAGGTCCTCTCGCACCAGTGCTCTAGGAGCGTGAGATCGAGAACCACTGGGGCGAGTGTGCAACAATCGTATAGAAAAACGACTTCCGGGTCCAAAACGAAGTCCTCTAAGATTTTTCTAACATCTCTTCGTGACAGGATTTGTTGTCCAAAGTTCATGAGAACATTGTTTATCTTATGTTAGCGGTATTTGTAAGCAGATGGACCCGGAAATACGTCGCAACTTGAAAGCTCTATTGCATAAGCAATAGACCCCTTGCAGCACGTCGGATAGGTTTCCAATAGCGCAGCGCAGCCATGACGTCATAAATACGAAGACAAAGGCGAAATTCGGACAAACAAACTAACAAGTTTACTTTCAGCAGATAATTTTCACAGCTGATCGCAGTTGATCTTAGTTTAAATGGGTTATTATTGTAACTTTAAGTAAAAATAATAAAATCGGTTCGTATAATCCTCGTAGCGGTTAAACAGAATGCAATGTTTGTCCGAATCTTTAAGCTATTTTTAAAATCAGTGCGCTGCGCTATTCTCAGGATATTGAAATTCTTTTGCTTTGTCCTCCAAGTTGAGCTCCTTTGACGCGTCACATACAAGGGGTCTATGTTACGTGACTGAGGAAAAAAAAAGAACACCTAAAACGTTTACCTCGTGAATGACTGCATTTTGAGAAAATAAACTGTCGTCTTTACCGTCATCCTCTCTTGATCCCGTCGTTGACCTTTTCGGAAGAAACAATAAAAATCGAGTGAGAAAAAGCAGACTTTTTTCAAGATTCTAGAATACCACTTTGTTCCTTGATTACAGAGCCACTTTCTTAGGGTTTCCCACGATTGACTGTTAAAATATTCACAAATACTAACGGTAACGTAAAAAAATGCACAACTTCATCAATACAAACACTAGAGATATCCACGGACCTTCACTTGAACACGTGAATATTCTACACAAAATTGAGGTTAAGGCTGAGTAATAGAGAATAGTCCCCTTCACAGTTTCCTGCGCCATCTGGAAAGGTAACCGTGGTTTTGCTTTGAAGCGAGACGAACGGTGAGCTTGCAATGATAGAGACCTTTTTTACACCTTGTACAATTATTAATATCTCTATCATTGCAAGCTCACTGCTCGTCTCGCTTCGATGAAAAGGCACGGCTACCTTTCAAGATGGGGCAATCAATGAACTGTGAAATGGACTATTGAAAACTTGATGCATTGTGGTTTAGCTTGGCTAAGGACAAAACCATTCAACTCATGATGAGCAGAAGAAGTTCGTACAACAACAATTTATCATGTTCTGTGAATAAGCCATGCCTCGGCTTAGATCACCAGAAGCTGTTACAAGGTAGCGATAATTTTTCAACGGTCACCATGGAAACAATGTATCGACTCACCTGGACTCCCTCCGAGGTCCATCCATGTTGGGTGTACTTGGCAGAATGTGTCTCCTTCGTACTTTATCAGCCGTACCACTGCTCCCAAAACTAGAGCTACGCCAGCTTCCACTACTCTCACTGGAACTACTACTAGTAGCAGATGGGGTACGCGCAACCTGTTTGAGCTCGGGTGTCTTCTCGGAGCGTGCTCGTAGTAACCTCGGAGAGTGCTGTGGTGTTCGTCTCTGTGGCAACGGTGACGAACTGGGAGAGCTTTGATCAGAGTCTCGTTCCGTGTGGCTACGGGTTATAGAATCAATGATTGCTAGAGGGGACGCTTTTTGTTGTGTCCTCGGGGAATCAGCAACAAGTAACGTGCGTGAACGGTCCATTATAACAGGTGGTGTGGAAGGCCTTGCCTCTTTGGGACTCGACTGATAATCCAAAACTAGGGACCAGGGCCTGTCTCGGGGGCTTTTCTTCTTACTTTTGGTATTTGTTTCTGTGAAGGATTTGGATAAATCACGCKTCCCTTTCGTCTCTCCTGTTGGTAAAGTATTATACCCGTTCAAATGAGTTCCGTTCCCTTGCTTGATCTGACTTGGGTGTCCCAGTTGTGCTTTGCGTATCTTTTTCTCTATTGCAGCACTTGTCTCGGTGGAACGTCGAGTTGGCTCATCCTCGTCATCTGTGCCAATAGCATTCAAATACGAATGGCGACGAAGACTAACCGAGCTAGCAGTCGACGATAAATCATTTTCGTAAAAACTTCGGGTATTCGGCGACGAATATCGACGATTTCCGAAGTCACACGGAGAAGACACGATGATTTCTTCGGGTGAGACGATCAGGTGTTGAGGAGTCGGTAGTAATCGGGGCATTCTTCTCGGACTGACTCTACTCTCGTTGCCCGAGCCCGGGCGTGAAGCTGTGAAGGGATCTTCCTGCGCCTTGGTTGGTTGCATTTGATTAACAGGAGTCAGTGTAATGTTTTCTTTAGTCTGGTCGCTTATCAAGTCAGATGATGAGGCCCATTTCTTCGGCGGAACGGAGTCGGTGTTATCAGTAGTAGTTCGGTCGACATCGTTGTATGATTCTTGTAGGGATTTGAGGACGAACTGAAGAGGACGAAGATGGTCTTGCAGATCCTTAAACGAAATGTTTTTTTTTAAAGGACTGAAAGCATGATAAACCGATAAAAAACGAACGARTAAATTCATGAGAGAAATTTGTAAAATAAATGAATGTGAATGGGTGGGAGTATCAGAATGAATGGATGGACCAATAGACCGAAGGACAGCAGACGCTTGGACTGACAGATGGGCTGAGTGATTGAATGAATGAATGATGGATTGATGGTCAGGTGGATAGATGGATGGATGGATGGATGGATGGAAGGAGGATTGAAGAATCGATGGCTAAATGGATGGATGGATGGATGGATGGATGGATGGACGGATGGATGGACGGACGGATGGATAGATGTATGGATGGATGGATGGATGGACAGGTAGATAGTTGGATACCTGGTTAAGTTTACTCATTTGTTCTTTCAGGGTGTGGTAAAGAACAGTCAGTTCCTTCCCAAGGTCAATACTACCGTCATAGTGGTTTTCCCGCGCATTAGGTTGGGCCTGTAAGAAAAAATATCGAATGTGTCTTATTTGTCAAAACCCTAAAGTTAACTGATTTAAACGACTCTCCTGAATAAGGTGACATTTTTCTTTAACCACAGTTACATGACAGATAAGCATGCACTGTGAAATGAGAAGGCGAGAGAGACAGAGAGACAGAAAGAGGGGGTAAGGGAAGGGAAGGGGAGGGGAGGGAGGGGCAAAAAGAAGATATTTTCTGAAGGATTTCTTACCGAGATTTTATCGAGAAATTGTTTCATTTGCTCAAACTCATTCTCAACGAATTCATTCATGAACTCCATGTACTCCTCTTTACCACCAAATCTGAAATGATATGGTAGGAAACATAGGTCATTACATGGGAAAGAATCACCCTCCAAGGTAAAGCTGGTAGGTTTTATTTGACGTAAACATACCTTGTAAAGTTCGCCAGGTTTTGAATGACTTTCGCGATTAGCGTCAAAGTTCTTGATGTTTTCTCGTTTGGATATTCTGTTCGGGTTGGAGTAACCAATTACTAACTTATACATGATATCAACAACTTAATAATAATATCAACAAAATAACTAAACTGGAAAAATGATAAAAAGGATGAAAAGGTTGAGAGAAAAGATGAGTGGATGAATGGGAGACACGGGTAAGATGTATACTATCGATTAACCCACCTTGTACTAGGTGAAATAAACTTGGCGATAAAATAGCAGGGCACAAGAAGCGTAAGAAGATTGAAGAACTGTATTAAAACAATAAATCGACAAAGATCAGTGACTATTATATCTATTGATCGTCTGACCTGGTTGGCTCAGTTGCTTGTTATACCAGAGGTCTAGTGTACGATCCCAGGCCGGACTAACACTCATGGTGAGAAGGTGATGCCTCTGCTTTAAAAATATGGAAATGAGACCATCACCATCATTATTACCATGGCTTGGATGGCCCATAACATATGCAGCACAACAAGTTAATGAGTTCCAACTGTCTCCAAATAATTTTTTTAATTGCTCCAGTGGGAAAAAAATCTTTATGGGATTGTTAAAAAAAGTACTTTCAGTTACTGAGGTGTCGTATATATATATATATATATATATATATATATATATATATATATATATAATGTGGTCGTTTCTTGGATCTTAGAATTTTGGGCGTTGCTTATATATAGTAAACTATGGATGAACAATGGATAATCATTACCTGATCAGATTGTTGCTCAAGTCTTTATTTCGATCTGCGCATCGTTTCTGAAACTCGTGGAACGTCTCTTGAAGGTCTCTTCGTTAAGAAACAAACGCGTATTGGGAAATGAGACAAGTATTAAAGAATGGAAATTCTTAAATTGTAATCTTTTTCTCATTTATAGGAACTCTAACGCGATCAAATTAAACGTAAACGACGAGTAAAACATATGTAATTTTTGACTGACATACCGCATCAATAAAAGATGGTATTGAAGAAAGGACGGGATTAAGGGAGCAATAAAGAAAGAAATATAGGAAGGGCAAGCAGGCAAGCGAGCAGGCAAGCAGGCAAGCAGGCAAGCAGGCAATTTAAATACCTGGGGAAAAAACTCGATGAATTAAGAATATTGATCCAGGTTTTTTCCACGAATGCCTTGAGATTTTGCCTGTTACTGTCGATGTTAACCGTTAATTTTGAAGGATCAACCTGCGAAAAGAAAATAGGAAGACTATGTCACTTAAACATGGTATCTCGGAGAAAAACCCTCGAATCAAGGGAAGAGACCTTCCAAACTCTACTTAATGGACCCTTCTCTTTTCTACTTAATGGACCAAATTAGCAACAAATCGAAATTATAACCGTAGTACAAATATATGAGTTTATATATATTCTCATATACAAATTAAAATTAGGGACACAATTAATCGCACAAATGCATTTTTTTTTTTTCGTTATGTGGCAATAGTCCCCTTCACAGTTCTCTGCGCCATCTTGAAAGGTAGCCGTGCCTTTGCATCGTAGCGAGACGAACGGTGAGCTTGCAATGATTGAGACATGTGAATTATTGTCCAAGGTGTTAAAAAAAGGTCTCTATCATTGCCGGCTCACCGTTCGTCTCGCTTCGATGCAAAGGCACGGTTACCTTTTAAGATGGCGCTTGGAACTGTGAAGGGGTCTATTCCATCGTTGTGTGTTCCCTATGGAATAAGTAGTGTCCTATGAAGAACTCGATTGCTTTACAAATGGTGGCTTACCTCGCAATCTTGATTGGTACCGTAGACTGAAGCGATGAGGTTACCGAGTGTTTCTTGTAAATACTAAAAAAAAAAAAAAAAATTTCATACTCTCACTAGTCCCTCAAAGTTGCGCAGCTGTAAAACTGTAAAACAAAATCTGTAGAAAGCATTCCACATCAGGTGGAACTTCCAATAGGAAGGATCCTTAGCCCAACACAACCAAATCTGTCACCAAAACATTGTTTATCAAGCACACTACCAGGAATGGTCCAAATCCACTTGGGGGTAATGTGTTCCCATTACAGACCACGTATCATTTCACCGAGAATGCACTCTCATTTACAACCATTAAACGAAGAAATGATACTTTAGGGAATGACACGTGGCCTGGAATGTGGAAACAATACGGCCAAGTGGATTGGTCGTACGAACGGTGAGCTTGCAATGATAGAGACCAGTGAATAATTGTCCAAGGTGTTAAAAAAGGTCTCTATCATTGTAAGCTCACCGTTCGTCTCGCTTGGATGCAAAGGCACGACTACCTTTCAAGATGGTGCAGGGAACTGTGAAAGGGACTATTGCACTGGAAAACGGCTGCAATATTGATTGATTTACCGCTATTCGCTTGAAAAGAGCGAAACTAGCCTCTAAGGCGAAAATAAGGGGTGACAGGCTGTAAAGAAGGATATTTCCAATGGTTATTGCTTAACTCACCGAATCGCCCACCATCTTCATGTAAGTGTCCATAGCTTTAGTTGCAAAGGAGTTTCCACGAAACACTAGATTTTCGTCCGCTGTAATGAAACCATCAAACAATTTTAATTTTTAAATAATTAATAAGACTTATTTCACTTGAAATTAATTATATGTAGAGCTCAATTCCGAGGTCAAAATCATTTGAATACATCGCTACCGATTTTCCTTGAGTAACCTCAAAACAATGGCACACATGCGAAGTCGGGGTTTCATTTGATGCGTTCATAAATTTACCATGTATTTTATCAAGTGCTCAGAAAAATCTGTATTGTTGAAATTCTTCAGTCAATTCTCTCTGGAATTCGTGCAACTATCTTCATCGTCTTTATTAGCCATTCCGAGTTTGAGGAAARAACTGGGTCGAGTTGGCATTGAAGTGCATTGTGGGACAGTTTTAAGGGACGAAATAGAAGCCATCTTGGAAATATGTCCCCCTTTAGGTAGATATATTTTACATGTTTCAACTACTTCATAACTATTGATGGACTGGAGATCTTTTACAGCCACAGTTTCATCTCATGTGAGTATCCTCAAGCAGTAGTTTTATCAAAAGTTTTATTTGTTTTGTATGACAGTGCTTCCCATGATTCTCAGCGATCTCGGCTTTGTAGAATTTTGGTGAATAACTTTATCAAAATAACTATAACCTTTACTTATAGTTTAGCCGGCATAGAACTCAGTAATCAAAAGCTCACCGAGCAGGCTTAGTACTCGGTCCACAGCTAATAAACTTGTACGCCTCGTTCCCCATTCGAGTTGGAATTTTTAAAAAAATTACAAAGACTGACACAGCGAAGGATTACACAAAAAGGAAAGAAAAGTAAAGAAAAATGTGCAGTCAACTTGCAAGGCTAACATACCAAGTTTGGTTACTTCGTTCATCACAATGTCCACCAGGAATTCCTGTGCTTTTCCTATTGGTTGTAAGACTCGCAGGATAATGCCGGCAATCTCGTCCTGTCACCAAAAATAGTACATACAACATAAAGTAGTGCACGCCCTTCTCCCCTCTGTAATCTCAATATCGATTCCTTGAACGAGGACAATCATATATCTCTCCATCTATTTAAGGGAATTTCAGTTATGGTGGCTTAGACTTAGTTTGTTCAGACTATAAGTTATTTCAGGGTTCAATCTGTGAGATAGCCATGCCCTGACTTAGATCAGCCCAGAGGTTGTTTTAGGGTTTTATCTGTGAGATAGCCATGCCCCGACTTAGATCAGCCCAGAGGTTGTTTTAGGGTTTTATC